ATGGAAGAAGCCACTGGAGACCGGACCGTATGCATAACCCTCCATCCAGGGTTTGACAGCGTCTGCTTAAACCGCCACGTATTAGAAGTGGCTGCACTGGGCCTAAAAACGCGAGCTGGAAAGTCGTACACAACTGTTCGTGGGCAAAGCAACAAAAGTGATAATGAGTAAGTTGGGGTATTGTTGACTTTGTATCGGAACGATCGAACCTTACATAGCATTGAATAATTGATACATCTAAGCTTATCACCGTGGACTGATCTCATAGAATCACATTTTTTATTTTCTAAATGGCTTTATTGCCCCAACTGCTTATTTTTAAAAGGAGTATCCAATCCAATCCCTCCTTGAATTAACAGTGATCTCATTTCTCTAACTAGATTCCTGAGGTCTGTGGCCTATCGCCAATTTACAAGACTGCTGTGGAGTTATATTGGTAGTTCCAGGCGATACCCCTTGCCCTGTTGTGCCTACAATAAAATCACGAAACAATTTCCCAGTCAAAATGGCCATTATCGTGGATTCGAAGATGAAGAAAATGAATAATAAATGCACTGTTTGTTCTTGAAGAGTATCAAGTATGCCATTGAGGCCTAGAAGGACCTACAGTAGTTACTTGAATACTTGTCCGTAAGCACTTAATTTTATGGGCCAAACTTCAGAATTCTCAGCCACTTACTCGCTTTTTGTTGAATGACAAACTTGCCCACTGTGTGAAGCCCTGTTTTTCTAGCGTTCAGTTAAACTCAAGTTTAGTGGCTGGGAATTCTGATGTTGCTCCAATTTTCATGTACACAAGTAATAAAAATTAAATCGAATTCAGCCTGAATTTAATTACAGTTTTAATGTATCGTTTCTTTCTTTTCACTCGGCTCACAGAGCACTGCAAAACTTAATAGCAGGTTACCTGCTGGAAACTTTCCTAGCAGGTCTGGTTGACTCTTCCAGACTTTTGTCTGGCTACAGTTTCTGCAGAAACTTTCTACGGTTAACAAGGTACCTGTCTGTGATACAGAAAGTTTGGGTTTTGAAAAGAAGCACAAGTGGCAGAACTGAAACAAAAGAAGAAGTTTGGAAAGGAAAACAATTCCCTTTGGTTCCTCTCGAATGTTTTTTCCTTGTAGATCCAACCTGTAAAAAATGATTGAAAGAAAAAACTTATTTAATCATAGCATCTGAAATAATAAAATAACAATAAAAAAATGATTATCATTTTCATTGTTTTTCTCAGGGTGTTGCCAGTTTTTCAACTTGTTGTAAACCTGGCTAATTGTGGGTTGGGATTTTATTCTCACATACATCCGGAAAAATGCTTTTTTTATAATTATTCTGTTGATTGCACACATGACAACTTTGAGCCCTTAAGCTATCTAGCCCACCCCAACGATGCATAATTTATTGCAAGTGGTTGAGTGGACAAACCAAACATTTTTAGGCCTGGGACTTCCAGTCTATGGGCTGGCTATGCCTCTTCTTCTTTTTTTTTTTTTGTTGCAATTCTTATCTGAGTAAATTAAAAAACAAATTTCATGTACTCTTGTTTCTAAATAGATCCTCTCATGATGGAAGTTAGTTTTAGGCCTAAATCACTTCCCAGAGGATACTTAGAGCTAAGATGTTAAAATGCAATAAATTTTGCATCTTTGCACCTTGGGTTCTGATGAGTCTTCACCGAGTCATCATCTTCCTTTAGTTTTTTATATGTATCTTCGATTTCTTCAGGACTCCATGTAGGGTCTTCATCACACTCAAACTCCTTATACGTGTCGTCCTGCATTTCCTGCTCATCTTCTGATTCATCCTCTTGCCCTAACTCTGTCTCATTTGTTGTCTCATTTGCTGGCCATGGATCAGTTTGAATAGCTTAAACAAATGGAATTAAAAAAATTCTATCACCATTAAAATTTTAACTATTATTAAATAATCAAATATTGATAAAATGTAATAAAAATATAAAGATAGGCCGTTATGCCTATATGACTCATCAACATCAATTATTGTTGACTCACCAGCATTCACCATCAGCAACTACTTCGGCTCTGGTATGCTCTTAAAGGTTTCAACCCACTGATCTTGATTGGAGATTAACTTACTCTTCAGTCTTGTGACTTTGCCCCTTAACTGAGTCACCTCACTCCTCAGGGTTTTGCATGTTGTGCAATTCCCAGCATGTCTAGTTGGAGTATCCTACAAAAAACAAACTTTCAACATTAATACAGGCTGTAATAACAAGACTTTAGAATTTTTGTGTTTTAGTATTGTTGTAAAATAACTGCAGATGTAGTTTTCCATTGTTATGATAATACAAAGATGCAAATAAACATTAATTAGAGTTACGCGCCTACCATAGAAACCTGTTCAAGTTCAGGAATCCTTAATGATTCATCAATCTGCATAACTTCATCCATATCCTGCACTTTTTCGATTCCCTGAGCCTCCAGGATCTGCATGGTCTCAGTAACCTCATCAGTGCCTGAAATCCCTTGGCTCTCGAGAGCTGTCTTATCACCAGGAGTACCTAGGACCTCTCAAGCCATCTCAGGATCAACACTTATCTCACCCGTGTCAGTCTCAGGGATGCAGCCCTCCTTTTCAGGATTTACCTCAAGCAAAGAACCCTGACTTGTATTCAGAACACCCTTGACTTCTGGAGACTCCTCAGGGTTGAGATTGGGGGCCCCCATAGTGTCAGCACTCTCCTCAGGTGCAGAACTTCCTTTCAAAGAGATCACCTCTTCTTCAGGATTGTCTTCTTCCTCTGTATCCTCATTAGTAGTTTGACCAGCCAGCATTTCATTTAGTAGCTAAAAATGAAAGTAGGTACGACCATTTTTTATATCTCCCCTTCAAAACAAGTTTAAATTTGAGCTTCATGTCGATGTTTTCAAAACTAGAAATGGAAGCAAGGTTAACCACATCTTTGCCTTAAAATGTATGCATCATTTGCAGACAGTGAAAATAGAATTAAAATACAAACGAAAAAAAAAAACCCGCAAACAGTAACTGAACTTATAGAATGTAGAAATCAGACTAAGTCCATTTTTGGTCGTTTTAAAAGACTCGCGTGTAACTCTTAATTTGCTGTAAGATTTCTTTGAGGGAAGTTTGGAGTGCTGTCAAATCTCAAAGTAACGGCAAGATAATCTCTCAAAAAATAGAGAGCCGGATTTCTATGTAGCTTCACTTTTTCTAAATTTTACGCTTGAGTGGAAAGGTCTGGGAATTGGGGAATTGACTTCACGTCCACTCAGCGCAAATGCCCGTTTTACTATAACTATGAGAAGAAAGCAGAAAAGTATGAAAACACATGCAACAATATGGAAAGTCCAAATAGTCAGAGCATTCATTACACGAATACTGAACAACGATGCCAGAAAAAATCATGTCACAGGTAAATGGGGAAATAAATATAACGGTGATACGCACAGCGCAAATACATTGTAATTTCACTCACCGATCGTAAACTCCGCTTTGATAGTGTTTGAGAGGATTTTTTCCAAATGGTTGGAAAAGTGCCCTTCTTCAAATTCCTTTTCATGTCTTTCATAGGAAAAGCAAGCGTAAAACAATCCCTTGTAAAATGCGCCGATCACACAGCAAATTTTCCCACTGGGTTGAAATTCTTCCGATGAATGGACACGAACCTTTTCCACTTTAATTTAACGCTACCCGAATCAGGAGAATTATGAATAGAAATCCCCAATTCATCGTTCTTTACGTCTCCACAGTCCTGAACAACACAACGTCTACCAGGCATACTTTCGCTTTAAGTCAAAAAAGCGAAGAAAGAACCTCCAAAAGCTTCCAAAAATATCTCGTCCTGCATGCGAAATTAGCCACGTTTGTTTGCCTTGTTTTGTCGCGTTGATGTTTCTACGTCACATCTCGCCCCAACTCCTTCAAATACTACTCCCGGTCATTTTTTTAATAGAGTAATGGCGGCAAGACATTTACGAAAATTGCCGTGCAAATAAACACACTTCCAGATCATATTTGGACTCCAAACTTGGCACGGTAAGTCACTTTTACATACATTTTCGAAATATGTAATCAAAAACAAATTCCCAAATTTGATCGTAGTAGCACTTTAAAAATGGTACTCTTTTTTTTTGGTTACGAAAGTCTTTCAAAAGGGTACAATGTTCTGAGTGAGTTTATGTTTCAGTCTCACATGAGGTTCTGTCACATGCAATGGTTGCCGACAGGTTCTGTCACATGCAATGGTTGCCGACAAGGTTTTATGGTAGCCTGAGTGTGTATATCCGCCCCCTCCCTTCAGAAAAAAATGCCCCTTTGCAGCCCAGTTAAAAATCGCCTTTCGGCGATTCTTGTTATTCCTAGCTGTCGAGAGAAAGCCAGAAATACGGAATTATTGAATTTTTGAGCCTGCGATATAAATGGGAAATAACTCCTTAGGGACACCTTAGATGTGAAAATTGGCACCTCGCATATCGATTTTCTGAAAGTTCAGCTCTCGCTTGATAGGCCTGTGTAATTGTTATTTTGCACCATTCTTAATCATTTGAGAAATAAATTTGTCAAATGGAAGGGTTTACAGCAGATCTAATACCTTAATAAAGTTCACTATTATTTATTATCATGTTTCTTGTAGAATTAATCGTTTTTCTATCTAATCTCCAAGCAGGCGAGACCTGAATGCAGCTGTAAGTGCGTTCTTGTTGTTACATTGTAATATATACCTTGTGTTTTGCATTCCGCCCACAGCCGGCGTTACCGCGTAAATTACCTAGTGTTTATTTAGTCCCTTGAGGACATTTTATGTTATATTAGCGGTATTAGACATGAAGACAGGGCAGAAATGGACCAGGTTTTTTTGACGCTCCCTTTCGCTCGGAGTAGTCAACGTTTAAGAAGTGTAATAAGGAAATTACAAGTGGCAGAATAAACGTGACGAAAGTGCAAAAACTGGTTCGTGATACTCTTCTACGTGGATACGACATATATCCAATTCAGTCAAAAAAACCTGAACAAGTTCGAAGACGAGAAGTCACAGGTTCTGTTCAAAGCCTCAAGCTCGCCGATTTGAAGTCAGTAGCTGACGAACCGCCGAGGAAAAGTCGCAAGCAGAAGCTAGACAAGTGGCAGTGAAAGCTCAAGACCTCAGAAAATCAGGAGCAGACTGGAATCTACAAAAGCAGCATATTCAGTAGGAAAAAGGTAAAACAGTTACTTTATTACCGCAGAAAATACGAAGAATCATTTGAATTCAAGTTCAGAAGTTACGCAACTGGACCTTGCTTAGATGACACCTTACATGCAATTCAGAAGAGAGTTTCATGAAGACATTTGGATGCATTGATTACATGAGGATGAATTGTCTTTGTTCCAATATTGGAAGTTAGAACTGAACAGTAAAGTTTAATATTTTATTCAATCGTTGAGAAAACGCAAAAGGAAAAAAACACTTAATTTCCCGCTTAATTGTGTTAAGTTTGAGTACGACAATAGAAATAGTTACGTAATATAACAATAGAAATCTACAAGTATTCAGCAATATACGCATTTGCAATTAGCGATTAGTTACAAACAATTATTAAGTCAAGAATGCCTCCTAAGGTGGACGTATCAATACTAATTGCGAAAAGAGATAGTACAATAGTCGCATTGTACGAACTTTTAGAAGAATTTCAAGTGCTTTACAAAGTTCAGCCCGTATTAAGTACGCTTGAAAATGTTTACAAAGAAATGGAAATTAAGTACAGAAGTGTCAAAAAACAGCAAGAAGCAATTACGGATAGGCTAATTGAGACGGGATCTACAGAAGAGCAACTTAAGGCTAATCAGCAGGTCGGAGATAAAGTCAGAAGCGATTTTCTAAAATACAGCGAAATTTTTGCCACTTATCAAAAAGCGTGCAATTCCCAGGAACCGGCGCTTAAGCACGATGCGCTCGAAGCTATGACCACAGCAGTAACCAAAATGGCAGACGTTTTAGGTTCGCAAAAGACCGCTAGTCACGGACTTGAAAAGTTATCAGTGCCAACATGGGACGGAAATAGAAAATCTTACGCAACTTGGAAGAGCGAATTTAACTATTGGATGTATAAGTACAAACAGGACGAAGACGAACAGCTGCAACGACTAAGAAAAGCGTTACCAAAAAACTTTTTCTGGTCTGATCAAGTGCGGCCAAGCAAGAAAATCGAGCAGGCGTGGAAAATTCTTGATACTGAATTTGGAGACCAAAGGAAATTAATGGACACACTGCTAAACCAAATTACCAATCTCAAACCAATAAAGAATGACTCGAACTCGCTCTCGCGTTACGCTGCTAGAATATTAAGCTTCGTGAACAATATGGAACAAAACGGTTGCGCAGTAACAAGCACATCGGAAGCACCCTTTGTCATGTCACAGCTTCTGTCTAAATTGGATGCCAGCGACAACATTGAATTTGGCCGCGAAATGCTACGCATGGGAAAAGAAGAAAATGTTTTAAATTTGATTGATTGGCTAAACAAAGAAGCAAGTTTACGATCGCGCATCAAAAGAGACACTAACTATCGCAATAATTCAAGAGAACACCGTTCTGACAATAACGCTAACGACAGTGGACTAGACCAGGATGAAAAATGCCCACTTGGTTGCAAAACAAAGCATTTACTTTCCGCGTGTCCTATGTACCAAAAGTCAACAGTTGATGAGAAATGGGAAATTGTAAAACAAAACAATCGCTGTCGAAAATGCCTACGAGCCCATCATACAAACTCTTGTAAGAAGCCCGACGGTACCACTTGCGATAAGTGTACGCGACGCCACCATCGTTCCTTGCACAATGAGCGTGTACCTCTTGCAAATTCAGACCAAAGCACAGAAACACTTCCATCCGCAAACGAAAGCCAAGAAGCTAGTAATCACAATGTTCAGGGCGAGACAAGCGTCCCCGCCATTTGTCCAGTTCAAAAAGTAAAGATTAGAGGCCAAAATGGAAATTTTATCGAAGCCCTAGCTATGCTAGATAGCGGCTCAAACACGAGCTTCATTTCAAAGAACGTTGTGAGGAAACTTGGCATACGCGGACCCAAAATGCATTTAACGATGAACTTAGCAGGAGGCCAAAAGAAGTCGGAAGCATCAGAGTTTCTCGATATTACTGTTGTTTCAAACACTGAACCAAGTATTCAGAAATCTATGCGAGCTTATGCAATAAACAAGCCATGCAGCCCAGCTAGAACAATCTCGAGAACGACATTGGAAAGCTATCCCCACTTGAAATCAATTTCAGAGCAATTACATCTATCGGGCGGAACAGTTGATTTGTTAATTGGAACAGACTTTGCCGACGCCTTTAATGATATGCACGTTATCGCAGGGAAATCCGGAGAACCAATTGCAAAGAGAAATTGCCTCGGGTGGTACGTCATGGGAACATTTGCTTCAAAGCAGGGTGAACGTCCCTCGGCTATCAATTCAATTGATGTAGGAACTGTTGATGTGTTAGAAGACATGAAAAAGCTCCTTACACAAGACATGTTGGGAGTAAGACCAACCGAACTTTGTACGTGCAGAGACAATGATCTTAAGGAGAACAAGTTTATCAAATCAATTTCAGAATCGACTCAGATTGTTGAGGGGAGAATCCAGGTGCGAATGCCTTGGAATGGCGAGGGACCCCCAAAGGAGAGCAATTACGATGTTGCATATAAAAGAATGATTTCTTCTGAAAAGTCCTTTAAGAAAAAAGATTGTCTCGAAATCGTTGAAAGTGAAGTTCAAAAGTTGCTGGATCAAGATTTCGTCGTTGAAATTCCCCCTGAAAACGTAAACCATGATCAGCCTGAATGGTATTTGCCTTTACAAGCCGTGTTCACACCTGACCGAACAACGCAAGTTCGACTAGTGTTTGATGCCTCAGCGAAGGGTCCAAGAGGAAAGTCGCTTAACGAGCATCTCGAAAAGGGACCAAACTACATAAACAGTTTGCCCAACGTGCTTTTGGCTTGGCGCTTTGACAAAGTGGCTTATACCGGAGATGTTAGGAAAATGTTCAATCAAGTGTTAATCCATCCAGACGACCAAGTCTTCCACAGATTCCTATGGAGGACAAACGAAAGTTTGAAGCCAAAAGTCTATCAGTGGAAAAGACTTAACTTTGGAGACAAACCAGCCCCAGATATAGCCGCAGGAGCAATCATTACCTTAGCCAAAGCTTCTCAAGACCAGTACCCGGAAGCCGCGAAGGAACTCCGAACCCATGTCTACGTTGATGACATTGGTGGCTCCCGAGAAAACGAGGATAAAAGTAAGCAGATCACGAGTGAAATCGACGCCATTCTCAGCAAAGGTCAGTTTCAAATCAAACAGTGGCATTCAAACAACAAGAAAATTGATCAGACAGATGAAGAGCATGTAGATTTTCTTGGCCACAAATGGAATAAGGTTCGAGACACCATTACCTTTAAGAAAACAGAGATTGTTGCAGAGGAGACGCCTGTTACAAAGAGAAATTGCCTCGCCTACCTGGCCCAGCTTTGGGATTCCACAGGCCTCGTGACTCCAACAACCATCGAGATGAGAATTGATTTA